CTTTGGTCATGAGACAAATTAGATAAAAACGACTTAGTTTCGTTGCCGCGTGAGACTGCCAAAAAGAACGATTGTTTGCCTCATTACGTTAAGAGATAATCACTTATAAAATGAGATAATACAAAGTGTTGAATATAGAAAAGTGATTTATCAGGTAAAAGCGAAATATGTAGTTTCCAATTTGCCATAATCTAGTCAGTTTTTGCCACTTTATTCTCCATCCAATATAGGCAAGCCTCCAATTAAGTATATTGACGGGCATTTTAGCCCATTTGTATAAATTGTTAGACCCATCGAGTCAAACGAGTAGGTTTCCTACGACTTGGCATGGTTACGCTTGAGTTTATCTTTTTTTTAGCATTGCAAACCCCGTCACCAAATCGTCGTAATTCTGCCATTTCATGCTTAATTCTCAATTTCTTTAGTATGCAGTTCGCATTTGCTCAAGTTTTTCTAAATTAAAGGACAACACTTTTTAGGATGGGAGGATGGTGATAAATGTTTCAAGTCAAATGGTAATACTTAAAAAGAATAAGGCTTTGGAGTTATGAATAAATTAACCGACAAGTCCCTTATGCCCACAAAACGCAAGATGATGAGGCATCAGCAACAAAAGTTCGTCTTCGACACAATATTCCAAACTACTCATACCGAATGTAAGTAGCCTCGTTGAGTATGATGTAATCTAAATGTTTGCCCCTTCGAAAATCCCACTCTATTTATGTGGTGCGGGGGAGACCTGGCCGGTCTCCAAATTTACAGTTTCCTCGTGATCTAATCACACAAGTGCCCTTGTGTCGCCATTTTGACATCTACAATCCTGTTTCCTATTATGTTGGTGGTGCTGATGATAGTCGGTTTCAGTCCAACATGAATGGGCAAACCTTGTGAGATGTGGAACTCAATGAAATCCAATAGCATTGTGAGACCTATTTCTTTCATTGTCAACAATCTCCAATATCACTCTTTAATTTATCATTCGTGGTACGCGCCTGAATTTGACACCATAAATTCTGTCTGTTTATGAAGACATTGGATATGGTTAGACGATGCGCAGAGCTTGTATTAGAACATATAAAGCGAAATTTTATTCATATCTGAAATTTGAGCCAACAATGGTTATAGAAAATTTTAATTATGTTATTTAAGACAAAATATCTTTTTTAAGAAAAAAGTCGTCAGGATAAAGCTATCATTAATAATTTTAGTAGCGTTTCACTTTGTTTTCGCAACTTGATTATGTCGGCAGGCCGGAGTCCATAGCATGCATGCCAATTTCCATAGTCGGAGCGTGAACTTGCTAGATTCTCAGACGTTTCGTCGGCATTGTAGGCAGCACCATCAGTTTGAGTAATACATTAAAATTCGTCAAAAGGGCACGTGAATTTGCTCCTTTAATCCGTTGTGATAGCTCTCTTTTTCTCCTATTCTATATCCCCGTATCACTGCTTCACTATTCCACTTTTTACTTACTTACTTAAATGTAGTATGGTGTCTCCTTTGGAGCGGATTTCATGCGACCGATTCACAGGCCGCCACTCTACTTGGAATTTTGATTTGAGTCTGTCCCATTCGTTCGCAATCCTTGTCCCCCAGTTTCTATCAGAAGTCTACTTGAAACCGGTAGAATGGCAACACATGTGGATTTGCACACAAGAGGCTAGAGCAGAGGAAGTCAAATACTTGACATTCTGAACAGAAACACGATGGATGCGGCGGAGACTAGAGCTTGTTGGTTAACTGAACTGAAAACATCTCATATTACTGATTTACTGATA